TGTTTCATTTGTTTGTTTGGATAATACTACAAAATTTCACATTCTGAAAAAAATTCAATAGGACAATTATCCCTGTAGATTTTTTCTGGCACCTGTCCTTCTTTGGTCTCGATTAGGACAAATTGCCTTGAGGTAAGTCATGTGTATTTGGAAATATAGCATTCAAAACAAATAGTAAGAAGGGCAGGAGCAAGATAATTTTCTACAAAGGTTATATTTAGGAAATTTGTTTATTTTTTTTTTTAAAGTTATGATTTAACTCTCCTTATTGAGTTTTTATTTTAACATTTAAAAGTCGTATTCATGATTAATTGAAAGAGATTTTAACCTCACAATTTATGTAATCTTATAAGAACATGAAGACTATTGATTTAATTAATATATGTAATTATTATATTTACTCTTTATAACAACAAACCATATCTACATTGTTCAACAAACCAGCAATCATTCTGTTCGCCTTCCTTCTGTATCGGTTATTAAAGGAAATGTCTGACATTTGTTTATGAGTTGTAACGTTATTCTGTGTTAATCCCCAAGAACATGTGAAACTTTGTTACAATGACATGCTATCAGTTTGTTTTGTAATATCATGTTTTCCATACGGTTAATTAGTAATAAGTGATTATGGTTATTATTCAAAAGAATTTTTTGGAATAAATTGTACCATGCAACCTAAATGAAAAATAATTATTAGCATATCTGTCGGAATATGTATTCACTACGCCAACTAAATTGCATATGTAATTCGATGAAATGTAGCATTGAACAAACTAATTGTTTTTTTTTGTTTAAATGGCAAAATTCATAAATACCAGTTCAACAATTGTACTTGGAAATATTTTTAAACATTTAAATAATGTAATGTCATTAGGGATTTGTTCTGTCTATTTATAGTTGCAGAAAAGTATATGATTTCTTTGCAGAAATATGGAGTTAATTATTCCGCTACAGCTGAACATCTTTATTGATACTTATAAAGAGTTGGTAGTCGGTTTCGTATTTTTAAGGAACTCAGATTTCTTTTTTTTTATGTGAATGTACAAGAACATATTTTAGTTTGATCGACGAACGTTTGCATTTTCGCTCATAATATAAATTTGATGGCTTATGTTTTTCCCATGTGACATAGTTTTAAATAAACTCATACGTGATGATATTTAAAAACGTGTGTTACAGTATTAACATAATTGAGTGCGATATATGCGTTTGGTGTTTACCATCAGCAAATTAATCAAGAAAAATTGATTTCACAGATGTAGTAGATTTAAGCAAACAGTTATTCTCATCAAGTCGTACATGTTTTTGGTTGCTTCTATACTTTTAATAAGTACATTGTAGCTACACGAGAAAATATGATGCCAATCCAACAGCCACAACCGAAGGACTTAATTTTAAAGACACAGATGGAGCGTCTTAAGAAGAATTTTTGCTGTTCATTAATGACTATTATTCAAAAAAAATTATCTCCAAAAGCTTTCAAAATAATTTAATATAGGCTCGAATTATCTTTGAATATGCAAACCGAAGAAGACTTCGCATTTATGGAGGTGGGTCCTCTTATCAGCTAACGTGTACCAATGTCGGTCCAGTTTCTAATGGTGGGTTCGGGAATGAATTGCTGGTCGAATGGCCTTGTCTTAAGGTATCCGACCTTGGCTTGTGACATTTGGCTGCTTGTGTCGAGCACAGGTTTATTGCCTTAAACGACCATGCAGCTTCACCAACACTTTCTGGACCCGTTCGCTTAAAGTCTGATTTTGTTACACGGCTCTAACGAAAGTTAATTGAAGTTTAACAATTCTATAAGAGGAACAATAATCATAATGTGACCATCTTCATACCACGCTAGTTGTTACGAGTTCTAACCGGAGTAGGGGTTGTACCTGCTGAAATGATAAGATAATATTGAAGTTACAAGAATTGTGTTGAAGCAGTGTAAAACTAATCATGCTTTAGAAAGTTACTTCAGACAACCACTCGTCTGTCCGTGTGTGAAGGTTCATCACTATAAAGGTCTCCGGCAACCTCTTTCAGCTGAGGTTTTTAGACGATCTCGCCAGTTTACGATAATTCTGTGTCTGCAATAGCATCAAGACAGTCTGCCATTTGGTGATTTGTCCGCCGCTCTAAAATCTCAATAAGCACTGGGTTCTGGCAGACACATTTGTCATGATTTCAGTTGTCTGTATACAGATGTATGGACCACCCAGCCTCATCCGTTTGTCTGCATCCAATTGTCTAAGAAAAAAGGGCATTTCATCTGCATGCCTCCTTACAAACATTCTATCCGCGTATGAATCTCTGAACATCTTATTTTATCCAGATATTTATGTTCCCATATGCCTCACTATAACCGTTCGTTTCCATATGCTCTCGAAACCGTTTGTTTTTCATAACCTCTCCTAAACGTTATATTTTCAGATAATTATCTAAAAATCACAATATCTAGTTTGAATCTAGTATGAATCATGAACATTTACCAGAATAATCTCCCTTTCGAAACAGTTTGCAGTTCTTCCGTGTATGTTTGCAGACTCAAATCTCAAAATAACTATGATGTAATCATGTATAAATATCGGGACGTCATAATCAGCAGGGCACTGGATTCTGTTTTATCTCGCAGCGTCGGATCGGTTAATGTTATATATAAGATAGAATTAAAGTTAGATAAATATTAGAGACATTTCACTCGTTTAAGGAAATACGTGATGATGAGGTAAGTTATGACAAACTCTTAAATCCAGTAAATTATATACGTTATTCAGTGGGAACCCGTTGGACATCCACAATACCTTTGTGGAATTGCTACTTTGTATATAATATAGACAACCTACAAAATACATCGTCAATTCAACACTGACAGGTCAGTAAGGGCCCCGTCTTGTGGCAATATATCCCACATAATCATCAAGAAGCAATCTGTCCATATAGTTGAGCTTGACGTTTGACATTTGGACTTCAAAAAGAATCGCAAGGAAGCAAAATATACATTTAACATGTACTATGATGTGAGTCTTGTTTCCTTCCACCTCCATATTTGCTGGGCTAACAGAAATGTAAATACCGGTGCAATACTCATTTGTTAGCTTTGATTTGTTTTATTTCACCTTATATCCCTCCTCCATCAAGAGCCAGAGTCAAAGTCAGAGATCCACTTTGTCTTTGACCTTTGTACCCAAATGACCTTGACCATTAACCCAGTGACCCTGATCTTTGGTCAGTTGACTTATTCTTTAATTCCGACCAAATTTGCTTCTTAATATCATAACAAAATGTTAATCAGTAAAAAATACAAAACTTGACCTTGACCCTTTGGACCCCGTAACCTGGACCTAAGGTCAGTTGACTCTGTGTTAAGTTCTGAACAACATTGCTTCATATTGTCATAACAAAATGTTCATCAGGGAAAAGGAACAAAATTTAACCTTCACCTTTGACCCAGTGACTTTGCCCTTTGGTCAAATGACTCCTTGTTTAATTCTGAGCAACATTGCTTCAAAGTGTCATAGCGAAATGTTCACCAGCGAAAAGATAAAAAAAACGCTTGACCTTTGAATCTAATGACCTTGACCTTTGACCCCGATTTTTTACCTCAGTGTGTCTCTTTGTTTAATTCCGAACAACTTTGCTTCATAATGTCATAGCGAAATGTTCACCAGTGAAAAGCTACAAAATTTGACATTGACCCCTGACCCGATGACCTTGACCTTTGGTCAGTTGACTCCTTGTTTAATTTTGATCAACTTTGCTTCATAATGTCATGACAAAATGTTCATCAGTGAAAAGATGTAAAATTTGACCTTGACCTTTGACCCTAATGACCTTAACCTTTGACCTTGACTTTTTACCTCAATGTGCATTTTTGTGAATTGAACATCTTGACCAAGTTTCATGTACATCGGTCAGTAAATACCAAAGTTATCAGCCAGGAACAAAATTTGTGGACGGACAGACAGACAGACAGACAGAGTGATTACTATAGGGCACCCGTATCTCCGATACGGGGCCCTAATTATGACGTCCGTTGGTGTTCACGTTCGGGTTTGTTTCTCTTCCTATTGTAAAAGTGGATGGTGATTACTTTCGTTCGGGTTTGTTTCTCTTCTTATTGTAAAAGTGGATGGTGATTACTTTTTCCCATGAACAACAGGTCTTTTTATCACCTCCGATTGTATAACTGAAGAGTATTTATTTGTACAATTCTAGCTAACAGACAAAAGCTGCTGGAAACACGTTGCCGGTTTCAACTCCACGTGAAATATGCTTAACCTGAAAGTGTAAAACAAGATGGATTCCCTCAGTCATTTTCACCTTCGCATTGAGATAAGTGACTGTTTAAACTCGAAATATTATTATAAAACAAGCAATGCATGTTGGGTAGTAATTTATGGATAACTAAACCGCGCTCGGAGCAAGCAGAATATCCGGATCGCTGGAATAAAGGATATCGCGTACAGTAACCATCATAGTACTATAAAGTAAACATGACATATCTACGAGTAACTTTTCGTTGTCCGAGTGGACAATTATTTCGTTTCCGAATGTATGTTTGTTCTCCTTCATTAAAGATGATTGTATTTGATAAGGTTCTTTCGTTTGTTTGCATTAAAACACTACATTTCATAGACGGAATTTCCTTCAAAAGATACAGTGCTCCTTACATTTGTTTTGTTATATGATTAATTTGTAATGCACATTTCTTTCTTTATGCATTGTGTTAAGATGAAATATCAACATTTATGTGCCATATTGTTGACTGCGCCGACTATATTGTTTTAAAGATATTTCCCGTCTTGTAAAGTATGACAAATGTAGTTAAGGTCACTGTTTTGAATTGTCCCAGATAATACAATATGGTTTGTATGGATTTTTAGCAGATGCTGAATAATCACAATAGATTGTTAAGAAACTTAAATTTGGCTGGAGATAAACTGCTGATATTACAAACACACAACAGAGGTAATGAAAAACAACAAGCTTCAAAACTATTTAAACATTCATAATTTATTATAAGCTACATTGATATTTCTAATAAACAATGACATGTAAAATTGCATAAACAAAAGTTGAGTGAGTTTGATTGTAATCCGAGAACTATGTGTATCAATGATACATTTAGGTAATCAATTCGCTCGATAGCATTCATGTACACAGTTTATCCTTTGATATAGCATGTATCATCAACAACAAAACGGGTAGGAAGAAGTCGTTATGATTTAATGATACGGAATATCATTTCCAAAATAAAGTCATGCAGAAAGCTGAATTTCAAAATACTTATTACTTGTGTATCGGTTATGTGGTGTCAAAATTTAGAAACAGGTTCAAGGAATTTTTTTCTGACTAAGAGGCAAAAAAGTTTCAACATCCATTTTTATTGTGTTTTTTTTATAGCAGAACTTTCTTCTCACTCAAAACATCCAGTTATCTAAAACGGACCAATACAAACTAATGAATTTGCCCACACCCGTGCAGAGTTAAACCATGGTATCCTCACCAGGTTTATATGGAACATAGAAACTCGCGCTATACCTCAATACCAATCCCTAAACATCAAGCATTTCTGACTGGGTACTTTAGATAATCGCTTTAATCAGTAATAAATTCATAAAGGTATAGCGTGTAAATGTCATTAAGATGTAAAAAGACTATTCCTAAAATATGATGACACAAATGAAAAAGAAAATGAATTATTAAAACTGCCATTTATCACAGAATGCGCATGACTATGCCACACGTAACACTAAAACACGTTCGGACACCCGTCGTCATATAAATTATGGAATAAATTTCAATAACAGTATCAATAACTTAATATGGAATATTTTAATGAACAGTACATCTCAACACGTTTAGGAACAGTCTTTGTTAAGTTGAGCGATTACTGAATTGTTCTGTCTTTAACAAGTAACATCTGGGCCGTCCATAACACTTATTTATAGCACTTCTCACAGCACTCACGTGCATTTACGTAACGCCAGTGATCCCATCATCAATGTCTGTCCATTACTGTAGTTACCATGGTAATGTAGTATCACGAGTTAAAAAGTCAAAACACGCTGAATCCACTGAACAAATCCGCTATTGAACAACTCTGGTAGTTGACAAATTGTTTTCGTTTATTAGAACATGCGTACGGGGTAATAGGAATTGGAAAGTTGAACCATCCCAAGTTGACCCATCGCTCTTCTAAATGCTGCCTTCTTACGCGCCATGTCACGGTATTAAAGAACCTTCATTACCAGTGGGACAACTCGCCCTCACAGACCGGTCACGTGCTGCGGAGACAGACTCGGAACTGTTGCTACTGATTCCACTGGTACACTTTCTTCTGTGTGTTGAGTCTCCTGGTGGCGTCGGAAGTCAACCTTGCGTTGAAAAGAGCGACCGCACTTGTCGCAGGAGAAGGGTTTGAACCCCGTATGTTTACGGCAGTGTGTGATGAGGTTGGATGACTGACTAAAGGCCTTTCCACAGTGTGTGCATTTGTATGGCTTCTCTCCTGAAAAATACAACATACAAATATGTCAACTACCCGATAAACCAACATATAACACAATACAAAGCAGACAGGTAGGTCGCATACCTGATAAACCTACCCCATTGTACATTTAAAGCCCAACAGATATCTTCATTTTTTAAATGAAACACCTGTTTGAAAACATCACCACATAAAACATCTTAAACAAAACGCGGAATAACGAAGCCACACCATGACCGCTGCTAGTTCTATATTATGTTACCAGTCCTATGTTATGTTATGCTACCAGCTCTATGTTATGCTATGTTAACAGTCCTATGTTATGCTATTTACCAGTCCTATGTTATGTTATGTTACCAGTCCTATGTTATGTTATGTTGCCAGTCATATGTTATGCTATGTTACCAGTCCTATGTTATGTTATGTTACCAGTCCTATGTTATGTTATGTTACCAGTCCTATGTTATGCTATTTACCAGTCCTATGTTATGTTACCAGTCCTATGTTATGTTATGTTACCAGTCCTATGTTATGCTATGTTACCAGTCCTATGTTATGTTATGTTATGTTACCAGTCCTATGTTATGTTATGTTGCCAGTCATATGTTATTCTATGTTACCAGTCCTATGTTATGTTATGTTACCAGTCCTATGTTATGTTATGTTACCAGTCCTATGTTATGCTATGTTACCAGTCCTATGTTATGCTATGTTACCAGTCCTATGTTATGTTACCAGTCCTATGTTATGCTATGTTACTAGTCCTATACTATGCTATGTTACCAGTCCTATGTTATGGTATGTTACAAGTCCTTTGTTATGCTATGTTACCAGTCCTTGTTTGCAATGCTAAACATCTACATGTTGAATAGTGTAGTTACGTAACTTTCCAATACCGAGGCGTGTTGCTCTTCATCGATCAATAATCAAGACTCAAACCTGACAATACCGACTCAAAGACATGACAAATCGCAGATAAGCTAATGTTCACGGGTATTTCACAGTAAATCAATTATTCGGAATCGTACTTAATTGTTGGAGACAATATCTGGTATAAATGATTTTGATGCACTGTCAACACCATGACTTGATGTTTATCGGGGGTTGCAATAGTTCTGTGTTGGTTGGTAACGTTATTTATTCTGTACATCATGCGCAAAATCTATCAATTTTAAACCAATCTAGTTTTATGCAAACTTGATTTATTTTATTAACGCTGTCACTTTAAGAAATGCACATGGTTGATTTTGTATTGTCGACTTGGTATTTAGTTGTTGTACTGTGAGGCTCCGCGGTATCCCTAGTATTCCTAACGGGAGTGTGTTCCGCCTCATGTGGACTTCGGAATTGACAGCGACAGTGAAACTCGTCGGTGCGGATTTACAATGTCAATCTCGTGTCTGATCAGGAAAATTACCACAGTAATCGGAATCACATAAACACTAGGGGTGGCCCGCCTCCCAACTTATTGTGTTATGCGGCGCTCTGACAAAGTTCACGCCTCAAATTTGGTTAAGAATTCAAACCAGTAGAGGTTAATGTCATCTTCGTCAGCATCTTTGATTTAATTATGACCGTGGTTCGGAAAACTTCGATTTATGCAGATATCAAAAATTAGCATTCCGATCTGGCAGCGTAAACAGAGTCGTGACAAATCAAGGGGACACAATCCAATAAGCCACTGGGACCATTACATAGATTGGCCAGGGACCAATCTCAAACAGGCTCTCTTACTCGTTCTATTGGGAAAATCAAATATCATATACGGTTGAAACTGACCAGACTTGGCCGCCAAACGTCACATTAGATGGTGCTGCTTTGATACTGACAGAGATGAGATTGATTAATTGGTTTACAAGCAAGTATTAGGTGCCCGATCCCTTACAACCAAACCTCATCACACTCCATGCCCTCCTTCCGAGCCAGGTCAACGTTATTTTGATATTTGGTTTGATGGAGACAATTCTTCGGTCGATTTTTATTTTCAGTTAAAATCATTTTTAAGAAGGTTCAATTAATTGTTTGTCGTTATAACATATAGCTCCCCCTGGTGGCACTGTTCGTGTTCTCAACCGACAACCAATGATTATAACGCTGTAATGCGTCAATGATATTACTGTAATGCTAGTCATTATGTAGAGTCAAGCTTGCTGCCAAGTTAGTATCTAATGAAGTCATTAAACGTTCCAAAACTGTCGAAAGCATTGGAAAGTATTCACCAATATGGCTGGACAGACTTTATTTAGATACATTTTCAAAATTTTCAAAATTTACTTTAACCAAAACAAAATCGTTCAAATCATGTTTGAGTATAAAAGTGATTGTATTTATCCTATGAAATATATTCATATGAAAAAAATCAGTGTTTTCATACGCGTATTTCATTGATACGCTCGGGTAATTGGTATTATTGTTGCAGCTCTGTATATATTGAAATGTTTTGTTTTCTTGGTATTGCCGGCCTTTCAAATATATTACAATTATATTGATTTACTGTTTTTGCTAATAATGGTGTGTTTTTACAACAGCAAGCTGTTTATTTACAAAGGGCAAAAAAATATCAACTTTATTATATACATGTATCGTTTACTTTATGTGAAATAAGGATTACAAATGAAAGATTTTTAGAGTTTATCTTACAAAACGTGATTACTTTAGGTAACATCAAGAACACAGTTTATAGTGTTGGATTTACATATAAAAGATAATAAAATATCGTGTATTAGGCTGTCGCATTAAAAAGAAAACAAGACATTACTGAAGAATAAACTTAAACGTACTCCTAAACCTTACAATCAATAAAACTATCAAACATATGGTCACAAAAAAAGGAGAAACATGGAGACCCTTGACAATTACTCCAGGAGATTCAGACCAGTTATTTCGAAAGTGTGAGAGTATTTTGCTTCATCGATGACACCGCTAAGTTCCACTGTAACAATGGCATTGCCGTGGGATATGTCAATTACCATGGAAAGTAACAGAAAACCATTTATTTTAATTGTAATATCTTCTAGAATCCAATCACTTCTTTTAAAATTATGTTAAATGTATTTGTTTTGAAAGCTGGTAAAATGTTGTTATATGAAATATGCACGTTTGGTCTAGATAAACGCTGTTAATTGTTGACATTAAATTCATCGCTCTCAAAAAATAATTGGATTATGATTTCATAATAAGAAGTATTGATATATGTATGATGAAGATCACTTTTGTATCAATTGTATATGTACGGGTGTATACTAATCGAGCATATCGGTATATTAGGAATGAACAACAATTAAAGTTGTAACAGTACTTATTATCATGACAGATACTGACATATGATAAATATTTCAAGCACAAAATTGTTAACATGTCACAACGTGACTACAGTATTTGTATGTACATTATCAAAACCAATTACCAAACCCAGCAGTACTTGCATTACTTGATATAAAGTTGGTTTAGTTTTAGTTGGGCGTTTAATAAATGTTTAATCTATCCTGAGACTACCTAACGTGTGTAGTTCTGAGGGTGAGAGCCCACCTATTCATTTTATCGGTTTGATATAATCTTTAATATGCATGTACCCAAAACGTAACGATACCTGATATCACCAACAACCTGCTCTGCCTGACAGACTAAATTCAGCAGATTTCCATATACGTAATACAATACGAAGGTGTTTAACATAATTGCAGTATGACTTGGTCGTCGCTTTTCACAGAATGGACAAAGGCTCTTAACTAGATACCATTTAAGACCTGTCTGAATTTTTCCTCGCTCTTGAATGCATTTGACATTAACTGATTTTCGTTCACATTTATAATAATTAATCCTGTTCTTAGCCTCGGTACAACGTCCGAAGACGGGTGTATTACCGGGAGCAGCCTACCATATGTCACAGCCATCGACCCGACACGGTCCAACGACAGTGAGAAAGCCTCTCCGGATAATACACTAAACTACCACAAAACAAATGGCACTAGTTCACCCTAGTGTAACATATTGACTTTTATTAAGCATTAATTGGTTTCAGTAAGTGTTCAAGTGTTCATCTCCTGAGTTTAAGAGATTATCCTGGATAAATATCTACAGTCGTCGCTCATTAATTTAACTGCCAACTATCCTTCTATGCAAATAGTATTTTAGTGGACAGATTGGCCATTTTTTCGATACAAAATAGTCCCAGTGCTCAGAAGTCACACAATATAGCCACATTGGGTCAGAATAAAGATAGCTATTGGTGACAAATGGATTATCCAATGAGAACAAAGATGACCGTATGATTATCTACATGGAACGAAATGTGATTGAAGTATCTACTGAAAACAAAGGTGCCTCTTGATAATCAAGTGAGAACGAAGAGTGCCTGCAGTATCTACTGTTAACGAAATGGAGCTTGATTATCTTGTGAGATCGAAAGTGGGCGGGTATACTGTAATTCATTAATAAATGTACCTGTTATACCCTTTATTATGTTGTCTTGTTGAAGATCAATTAAATGTCAAAAATAAATGTTTTGAAACCAATTTTTGGTTTACAGTAGTGTGTCTCTTGTTATTGAATTATCGATTTAAAAAAGAAAATGTGATGTACATGTCAGAAATTAAAAAAGAAAAAAAAAAAACAGTTTCGTCGAAAACAAAAGTTAAGCCGGTCTCTTACTATAACTTATTGGTGGGGAAAATTGGTAATAGTTGAAGATTAAGCAGCAATCTATTAAAGCAAACCAACGATTATTGTTTAATTAAACATACTCCTAGATATCCATAATGTCGTAACCGTTTAGGCTATAATCTAATAACTGTACCGTTTTAAAACTTAATATTTCCACCATAATTATCACACTCTAGCCATTCTTAAAATTTGATAAGAGAATCATTCTTAAAACAACGTTTGACATACTGCACATGACAAACACAATATAATTTGTAAACGTTCAAATAGACGCGACGAGAACCTAGGGACGCATAGCGAGATAAGCAGCTTCTAGAAATGGGAAACCGCCTTTACGAAAACTACCTTCTATCAAATCTTAATTCTATTTCTTATTGAAGATATGTTATCAGATTTAACACCGGGAAGTTTGAACCACAATTACGCTAATTCGAACTGACGGGTTATGTGCAGCTTAAATCAAATGCATTTCGATTTATATAGAACTGTTAATACATTCTCATACTGATATTGTATCCTCTTATTAGAATTAACGAAAACTAAAATATAATGAATAGGTTTCCAAAAAGAATAAACTCTTGCTAAGAAATACAAATCGAGAATTGGAAAACATCATGTAATATATTTCAAATGGCATCGATATCACGTTAACTAATAAATATGGTAGAGAAATACACACCCACCTCCACTTAAAGTGATGTTCACAAATAAATGGATATACTACAGCAAGGTTCATCAATACACACAGCTAGTAGGGCAATGATGATGTAACTCTAAAACTAATTTTAACAATAAACAAAGACGTGGCATGGACTTATCTTTTCATATTTCAATATATCAGCATAGCCTTATAACCTCAAGGCTTGACGTGGACTTGTTAAGATATAGGACTAAATACCAACCCAACCTTAAGATATATTTCTCTGGCCTAGTAACAGCTAAGACTGAACAATAAGGAGGGGCGTTAAAGATCTAAATAACCTAGGCAAATTTTTGCATTTAAGTACAAAACGACGAAATAATATTGTTTAACTAAATATAATACTGCATGTTCTGTATGTTATACCCACATACAGGTATATTGTGTTTTAATAATCTATGTTATGCATTGTACACTATTGCATCAACTGTAATTTGTGTTATACATTGTGATATCTTGTACATATGTATGTCTACTCTCCGATGTGTTGTAAACATAAGGAAATAAAGAATCTGAATCTGAGGGACAAAGATACCAAAAACGGAAAGTTGTTTAAGTTAAAAATATAATATGGAACTGCATTACTGCGTATAATGAATACTGGTGGAATCACACCTCACAGAGAGGAGCTTACACTGAACTTACATTGAGACCCTCAATAATGTACAATATAGCTTATACTTGACACTGAAAATTATTTTGAATTTATTTCATTGCGCTTTATGGAAACTATCCCACCATCTTATCCAACAAAATGCAAAAATCCTATACCGAGCAATATTCTACAAAGAAAGAACAAGAGAGCTTATGGCATCAATTATTATTGAATTCCAAGCTGTAATATAAATATATATATATATTGTTGTTGCTGTTGATTTGGGATATAATTGCTGTTTACTGTGTATTATTATCATTGTAAAATTGTGTTCGTTTAGATTTTTCTTTTGTTATTACAATTGTTAACTTGTCGTTATTTTTCTTGTTTGTTTCTATTACAATGGTTGTCAAAGTTCTAGCTTGTTTTACAATTGTGTTATAATTTTTGTTAATTTGTATTATTTTAGTTTTTTACTTCAACTATCACTGTTGTTTATTTTTGTTATAAGTGTTGCCGTATTGTGATGTAGTTGCTGCTTTATTGTGTTATCATTATTAACTTCGGGTTTTGTTGGTAACTGTTATCAAAGTTAATATGAACATACCGCAACATGAGAAGACAGAATAACCATGTAGCAGAACCTTATGCCCGTCCATGGATTTATTAAGCAACTACGGTAGTTATGGCTTTATAACTGCTACCCACTGAACTATACAAGCACTACATATGTCAGAGAACGGCAAGACAAACAATCCGGAATGTGAGAGTCCCGGGTGCCCGTCAACTGACTCTAAAATTACTGTGTCCGAAATCTGGACTGTCGAGATCTATCGCGGTTTAAATCTGATCATAAATACTACACCGATAAGTGAAATCACTCGGATATCCGATGACATTCTCCCACATAAGTGGCCAGTTGCCGTTATGTGCAGGTTTCCTTTCAGAAACTAGTTCGGTCTTTGTTGATCCATCAGAATTGTTGTTCGTTATGCAATGCTTGCCGTTACTGGTTATTTGTGTCATGTTTATTCGAGATACCCGGATGTCGTTTTACCACAAGGCAACAAGAACAGGTTCACGTATTTGAACACACTCCGACAGTTGCAATATGTATTATACATCACTTCCAGAGCAAATAAAAAGACCTGCAGAAACCATGGTTACAATCTGGCTGAATTACATGAATTGTGGCAGTGAGGAAGAAAGGCAATATTTTGTATAAACATTTTGAGTGATTTTCATCCTTTTATACGGCAAAGTTTAAAGAAATATCCTCTAAGTTTATCTATATAAAGCAAAATCGCTTTTCAAGTATGTGAAGCAATTATGTGGTTTAAATCGTAGTAGAAAGGGAACAGAAAAACACACGTACCTGTGTGAATGTATGTATGTTTCTTCATGTCGGACTTTTGGTGAAACCTTTTTCCGCAGTAAGGACAGGGGTAGGGGCGAGTGTCGCTGTGAATGAGCAGGTGTGTAGACAGAGTGGACGACCGCTTGAAGCTCTTCCCACACTGCTGACACTGGAAGCTCTTCTCTTGTGTGTGCACCGCCCTATGTTGGGTCAGACTGACCGAGTGTCCGAACGTCTTGTTACACACTTCACATGCGTACGGCCGTCGTCCGCTGTGGGACCGCCGTACGTGCACCTCAAGTCCATGTGGGGTGCTGAACTGCTTCAAACACTTCATACACTCAAAGGAACCTTTGGCTACACCTGTTACCTCGCCCTCCTCTGAATACTTCATCATATTCGGCAGGAACGGGTTAGCTATGTCCTTCCGTTGCCCCAAATAACGGTAAATGCGTGGATCTGTCCAGAAGGACGCCTGTCCGTACGAAAAGAGTGGAGAGCGGTAAAAGACTTGCGCAAACTGGTATCGGTATAAATCGGACATGGTGGCAGTCTTCAGAACGTTCTGGAGGGCCGCGTGTGAGGGCACATTTATACCTGGAAAATAACATAAATAGTGAAATATTAGTTGTTCGATTTTCATTAGTTGACTATTTTGTCAAAAACGATTCAAATATTATTATAAGCTGTTAATTTAGTATGGGTTTTGGTAACATATACATGTATGACAAAATAGGGGTTTCTGTGACAGTGTGATTAATAACGAGAAGAAAATGAACAATGACCAAAAAAAAGGTAGGATATTATGCAATACTTACATGATGGGGTTTTGTTCGTGTGTGCTTGTTTTTTAATCGGTTCACACAGCCAAGGTCTGAATGCGTTGAAGTTGGGTCCCTCTAGTGACGACTGGCCTATCTGCCCTTGGTGATTGTCTTCCGTTTGGTCCGACATGGATCCACTTCCAGGAGAAAGTGATGACGTAGACTTTGACGAATGTGTTGGTGATGGTGACCGCATGCCGGAATCGCTAGACAGGTCTGTAAAATAATCAAAAGTATCGTAAACCACATTGTTCTTAGACTTAAAATTACTTTCACGTGAACAGACTTTTTGAGGGTTGATTTTGCAAAATATAAGCAAAATGAACATTTTAAGTTATTCTTAGGTCAATCAAAATAATTTGCAAAGGTAGAACCACAATATACTCTCTACGAATTTTTCGTGTACATATGAAACTCGAATGCAAATTATTTATAACGTCCATAGCCCGAACTGACCCATAATATGACCTATGACGACCAATGATAGCTCGGACCCGAAATTTTAATGTAAATCCGCCTAACGTTGAATGTTGCTAACGCAAGTATTCCACGACAGATTGCCCCAGATGTTTGAAAAAACCACAAAAACAGCTGAATTACTCGTTTTTCGGTAGTTTTTGCTGAATAATGATAGGGATAACGATAATTCATTTTAGTATTTGCGCCGTATCGGTTTCGATGGGACGCTAACTCGGTTGCCATGTGACACTTACTAGGTTGCCATGGGACCCTATATCGGTTGACATGTGACGTTGTTTCGGTTGCCATTGGACGCAATACCAAATGTAGCGGAACGCTATATCAGTTGGCGTGGGACATTATATCGGGCGCCGTGGTACGTTACCTAGGTTGCCGTAAGCTTCTGTCATATTGAAGGATACCCAACGGCAATAAGTGTTTTAGGGTGAACAGTGAAAAAAATACATATGTTCATGTTTGAAGACGACGTCAAATTATTATTATATTTCTATGTACTTATTACGTGAACTTTGCAAGTACACATTATCAGCATTTACCTTAACATCACCAATTTTACTGTATCAATAGTCAGTTTGAAGAGTTTAGTATTACATTCAAATGACACGGTGAAAGTCCCCACACGTGGGCAATATATTACACATTTATCAGCGTAACATTAATCTTTTGTCAAACCGACGACTGAAGTAATATTTAAGATGCGGCTGCACTTTTCTTGCTAATATAATATTAGTTTGTTAATAAAAACTAAGGTATTATAAAAGTCATCTGATTTTGACAGGAAGCACTAGATCAAGCAGAAAGCGCCAAGTCCTTGAAAACTGCGCCTGTTTCATAATGCCTCGCTTTTCATACATTATTTGTGGGGTGCATCAGTTTACCGTAATGTACACGTTTCCTTGTAAAAAGCCTCTAAACGATCCTTTGATTGACGTGTAATATGGGGATAATTATAACGATAGATCGTTCAGGTGTAGCGACAGCTATATACTGATAAGGATTATGACTACATCCCTACTCAGCGCCGCAGCGGGAACTGACAAATTACCGGGTCACGGTCCATTGATGGCGCAGATTCAGTCATCCATGTTTCTTAATTTTACGCCCGAGTGAATACGTTCACTTTAAAATGCACATCCCTAAACCCATTTCCGCTGAGAAAGTATCGAATGGCCTGATTAAAAAACTATAAAAATCGGTTTTGGAATAATGGTTAGTGTTGAATTGTGTGTATTTCCTGGTCATTTACCCGACAACAGGTGAGCGGCAGGGAAATATTCCTGTGATAAAAAGGGATTTATCAGAAAGGCCAGGGATAATGATTGTGTTATCGATGTTGGTGTGATTGCTACTTCCGCGAACGAAGACGCAACCCGGAAATGATGCCAAAAACCTTCGGATTCGAGTACACCGAACACATGGCATCGCTTACCAAAATCAGTACAGGTGTGATAGTGATCGCGCTCCATACACACGACGTGCAGGCGGGATCGCATGTCCTATCAGACATAGCACAAAGTCTTTTTTCTAACAAATTGAGATTGAACTTGATGATTTATTGAAAATTGCGAGGTTTAGAGTGTCTGTGATGCACAGCAGTTCGCGCCAATACAGGTATTCTAACTCTAAGTAGCGGATTTTTCCAACAACAAACTACTTCGACCATTCTTGACTATTACCTGTATATATACAGTATAAATTGAAATCGGTTGAGATTTTTAAGCGGTTTTAAAAATATTAAAAGATTAAAGATATAGATAAAAAATCTGACTGCTTCTTGATTTACATACATGTGCCTTCATATTTTAACGTAAAATTCAGTTCTTATCCATACAATTACCGTAAACTCGTCTATAAACACTGGTTTGATTGTGTGACTTGTCTATTTCAGTTTGTGTACATGTTTATTATTGGATATTTACAGAAAATCTGCCGTTAAGTCTCGTGTACGATATTTATACGTGTCTATAGTCCATAAGATATTCACAAGAACTGTGTAAATAAGTAAACTACGCCGGTTGGTGAATGCTTATCTCTATACTTATGGGTGATAAATGGCGCCGTCCCACAGGCACATATAATCGATAACATTTCCACATATTGGGGGAAGTTGGTGACGATATGGTTTGTTTTAAAACCATTGAATTCTTAAATAAACCAAAAATTACAGAAAAAAAGGAAAGAGTTTTTGCAAAGAAATTTTAACATAAAGAGTACACGCCATTAAAATCCGCCGTCTTTACGAAATACATATGATGATCAATGTAACTTTGCTAAATTTATTTTGAAGTAAATCTAAATATATCATGAAAATCAGGATATAAAGTGAGATTTCTTTTACCGATCAATTTATATTAACGAACTCATTGTATATTTCAATTAATTTCAATTAAAATTAAATGAGTTTAACGATTTGTATAAATAGAATATTACATTATATATTGATAAATCTTAATATAACATATTCATTTAGTTCAATGCTTTTGAGAATGCAAACAATGACGTATTAGATTGATTTGAATTAATGCGGTAAACAGATTGAAAAAACTAGTTTTGGGAAGGTTTTCTTTGAGAGAACAATATTATAATTTCTATACTTCCGTGCAAGTAATATCATTATCACAATTATCTAGTCCGTAGTTTAAATAATAAATAGACTACTATCATATTTCGATCATCCTTATTGAGACTCCCATTATACGCATATTTTTTTTTATAATAAATATTCATATTTTACAAACGAAAAAGATATTTGTTATTTGCATAATCTATTTATCTAGAAAAATACGATAAAATAAGATACAAATATCAGAGGTAATTTTATTTATTTAATTTAATATAAGAAGGTCGAACCTTTTGTTAGTTAAAAAATATTTCTATCAGCACAGTAAAATATTGTCTATGTTAAATATTCAAAAACCGAAGTGATTTGCAGAGGAAAGGGATAACCTGTTATCGAAAAGTTGAAAAGTTCTCTGGGGAGTAGATATATATACATATATATATCATACAGATTAAGCTTTCGAGAATTATATCAGGAAAATTTATCTACAAAAATAAGGGTATAATTTCGTTAAATAAGAAAAATAAATTAAAAAGTGTTTTGTCGCATTCATCATGATACAGACGAGTTTTGCACGTTCTTACAGAATTTAATCAAATAAGGGATACCTAACTTTGATTTTCGCTAAATGTAATATCGTTACCGTAGACCTGAATATTTAATACATCGATCGAGTGTGTCAAATATAGGAAAATGTAACACAAAAATAGGAATAAAACATAATTATTGTGTTAAAGAAAGGCAAATTGATTGTTTCACGGTATATTAGTTATGCCTTTGGTTTAATCTGAATAACGGCAATATTAGATTGTTCATTAAATCTATTAATAATTCATGACAGATTGAGGATATACCATTTAATACCCCTGACTATGATAGAAGCTCCTGTTTCAAAGAGCGGCATACAGTAAATAATTAAACGGTAAAAAATGAGTGGAAAATAGGAAAACGTGACTTTATATAACCTTGTTACATCGTACAAGCGAGATAACAGCATACGAACAACAGAAAAAGACATTGATATTTACTATCATCGTCTTCAGTTTATTTAAACTTGTAACGCATGTGCACTGAACACGTATTTTTATAACAAAACACTACTTATTACGATTTATATTTTGTTTTCATGTGTTTCATATTAAAGGGGTTTTCAAAAGAAAGTGAAATTCATATTCTTGTTACATATAGCGATATGATTGACACAGTAATTTCTTTGCTACATTCAGTATTTTTATAAAATTACCATTTTAAGAGATCCATTGAGTATTCATATAAAACCTTAATTCATTTGATGTAATCTAAGTTAAATTTGTTAAACATCACGACGCCTGTGTTACGCGAGGACACTGTTTATACGGTTACCATATACATGTTACGGTAGTTGTTACGGTAAATTTTGAAATTATATAACGATTGCCTTTATAATTTTATTCACAACAGATGTCCCGTTTTCTAATCCCTTATGAATCGGTACTGATTCGTGCATATACATACAAACTACCCATATATGATACTATGGACTTATTGGAGTTATTATATATATATGTTGCTCATTTTCGCTAAATGTAATATTTTCTACGCATTAGCAAACATGTAAAACACAAGCATATTTAGCTTACGACAAAACAACATGTAAATAACCAACAAATTATTACTTATAACATGTATATAACGAGTCCGTATTTTTTCTCTTAATAATTGGATACGTATTATTAAGTTAAATACGAGGAACTGACGGTATAAATTTTTACTTTCTTAATAGTATATTGTCTATTTAGTTTATTGATTAATGCAATAATGTTATGAAGAAAACGTCATTAGATTATCTAGTAAAAAGACATAGTATCTACTTATCTAATACCTCCATACAACTAGAGAAGGTTTTTATCCATTGATGCAATATCATTTGAAAGAAATGTAAGAATCAATCAGAAAAAATCACAGACTCTGAATAAATAATGTAAAATACCTTTTCTTTTCGGGGAGACTATGGTAAAGGCACTTCGGTGTAGTGGGTCAACTGTTGTATCACTCATGTTGTCCTCTTCTTTCTTAATGAGAAAGGATCGGGGCATTCCAATAAGACAAAGTTAATAACGATTATATACTCTCACAGATATTATAGCGCTAATATGTGTCCATCCTCCACGGAACTGTTAGTAATGGCAATCCACAAGTGCTGTCAGACCTCAGAGTGGAGTTATGAGTGATACATCAAGAAATTTAGATCATCACACACTGAAAAATAACACAGCAAATTTGTTAATAAAACTCGCTCCTGCATCTGTTACTTTCATTGATTATGGCGAGCATGCGCAAAGTTCATTGTATTACACAGGTGTAAAAACTCTCACGGAAAATCTGGGAATGATTGGCGGAGAGTTGTGAATAGACACGCCCACCTTGTAATGAGATTACAGCTCGTCCTAGCGGTAAGATATGAGCATCTCGACGAGGAATGAATGGCATTCGTCAATCTATCCCCAGTGTCCAAATCTGAAGGGGAATTTTTATAGCTCTCTATTCTCCGAGGAGAACCCGTTGTTTAAGTTAGCGATTTAGGTGCTGGACGAGGTGTTCTGACGGTCGGGCAGGGTTTACGTCACCTCTCGATCCCTCGTCACAACATCGGGGGATTTAGTCGGGCTTTAGCCTCATTTCTATACCATAAAGCACAACGACAACAACCATAATCTTTTACAAAATAACACAATTATTTTAAGTGAAAATCACAATAAATTTTTTCGTGAATCATGAACTATATGGCTAACGGTAACACTAGTGCTTATGTCTCCTGACACATAGTTTGGAGCATTAGAACTAATCTTGACAACATACCTAAACTTGTTATTTTATTTAAACACACTACAATGAAAAGTAATGTCAAAGTTACACCTTAGATTAGATGAGTGTGTAGTCAAAAATTACATTCTTTTAAATCTGCCGGAAAGTGATATTTAGTGTCAAATTAAAATAACTCAAATCTATCAACCGTTATTGTGTGAAAATGACAACTCACCCATCTCAACGGTACATGGTTTCAAACAAAGTAAAAAAGAAAAACAAGTTTTATGTGTGAATTTCATTGATAATTTAATTATATGTATTATTCTTAAAGTACTGACAAAATGCCGGAACCACCACTACGTTGTATAGTTATATACCATATTACCTAGCACAAGTAGATTTCACATATCGATGTCAATATTTCTCCTTATGTCAGTGTAACTTCAATATAAAGTTGTCTGTTACTTTAACACATTTGAGTGATTGTACTTCAGCTGCAATAACAAATAAAAGATAGAACCCGATCAAATATTATTATTTAAATAGGCCGTTTAAAACATTATCCGTACCACAATCGAGTGGATAACTTATCATTTTGAACAGTGAATAAGAGTAAAGAGAAAGAGCAAATTAGGGTAGTATCAGCCTGTTAAGCTCAAACCAGTCAGTGTGATTTTCCCCAATGGAAGATGAGATTGGTATACTCTGATCTTCGATTCCTCCAGGGTATTATCGATTCCTCCAGGGTATTATCGATTCCTTCAGGGTATTATCGATTACTCCAGGGTATTATCGATTACTCCAGGGTATTATCGATTCCTCCAGGGTATTACCGACCCCTCAAAGTTATATGTGCGACCCCTACATAGTACTGCCCCATCTATGATAAACCCAAACAAGAATGATTTACCAGTGTATTAACGACCTATACAGGTTAATATCGAACCCTATGGGTATTTATTACAGATTCCTCCATACAGAAATGTATAGACCCTCACAGAGTATTATTGATCCTTTCAGTGTATTATCGACTCCTCCAGAGTATTATCGACTCCTCCAGGGTATTATCGATTATCGATCTTTTAGGGTATTATCAACCGACAAGGCATAAGCGACCCTTCCATTTCCTATCGACCCTCAATGGTAATATCGAACCCACCGCCCCCTACATGTGTTACCAACCGCTACAGGGTGTTATAGACCCCTACAGGATGGTATCAAACCCTATATAGTATTATTAACCCCTGTAAGTTTATTATCGATCCCTCCAGCGTACTATCGACTGTATTTAATTTGTTTTCAAGTATCTTATCCAATAAGGATGTAAAATGAAGATATGATACTAAAATACACTAAAAAAGTTTATCGGATGGGCAGTTCCATTGGCTATTTAGTTATTAAATTAACTATTTTAAATGAATAAATCTGTGAAAAAAATGTTTTTTTCCAGAGGTACAATTTCGTTTTCAGCGCCAAAAACATAACAATCATACACAATTATGTAAGTGGAAAAAAAATCATTTAAGCAGACGGAAATCAAGTATTTTATTTAGAAAAAACAACTTTTCAAAATTAGCCTTTTGGGAAAATTATATTTAATTGGTTACTTACAACTTAATGATTGTGCAATTCCATATACCATACCAGTTTGATGTTCCATTCTCCATAGATATGTTATCATAAATTAAATTAGCAAATAAACAGCGTGATCATTATTCGACCGTTGAGCCGGGCAGGAGCCTCCATGTGTCCTCCCGTTCTACATCACATGGTTAGATCATCGAACTCCGCGCTGCCACCCTCCTGTGTGTACACATACAATTCACCAGTTATTTCAAAGGCACTTGATGGATGTTTTTTAAGCAAAAATATCAGACAGATAATTTTGAAACATATATATAAATGCAATGATTTTTTTTAACTTACTTGTGGTAAGGCTCCTGAACAGATTCAATCCTGTTAGCTAGATATTTAAATATACAAAATTGACTTATCAGAAGTGAAAGAATATAAAATTGGTATTATGATAAATTTGTAATTTCATGATCGGTTACATTCTGGCCTTATTTGTTTGAGTTATATCGAATATACGGACGTACTGAAGGATGCCTTCATTTTTCTGGATCACAATTTTATATTCCTATGTTTACATAGGCTGAACTTAATGCATTTAATTTTCACCGATTAGAATATAAGTGTGCCATCTTCCCTCCGTTGGTCAGAGGGGCTGTATTTGATTTAACGTATTATTTGTCACCACATCTCGTCTAATGATAACAAAAGTACATGTATCAACGGCAAACCTAAACGATAAGAAGAAGATAAAGTCAGTAGACCTAACGAAAAATATGTTCTCATCAGTTTCAGTGTTTAAATAATAAATGGCACTTGGTATAATCATCTTTATATAACCTACATTATATTTACTGGTCGATAATTTGTGATAGTCGATAATACCCATAAGTGGCGCATGTTTGAACACTTAAATTACGCTCATTAGTATCTATTATCATGTAATACTATGTTGTATGATAGCTTTACTAATAACGTTCGGATAATTTAAAGTAAATTAACACATGGATACCAAGAATGGGATACGTTATTGTTAAAGTTTGATTGTTTAAGATTGGAGTTTAGTTGTCACAAACCGTCCCTGTGCTATTATAACGGGCGGGGTCGTAAACTACGATTTATGTGTCAGGTTTATCATGGCGACTGGACAGGTGGTTTTGAAGATTTCAGGTTTATGAGCCTCCTCAGACGTACACGTTTGTATATTAAGACGGTCACTTCAGCAAATTCGCTGGTTATACTAACAAAATATATATCGGAGTCAATATCGTGCTTTTTCATAAAATCATGTCATCTTATAGAAGGTCTCCACATCTGTCATTACAGATATCAGTAACTACGGTTGTACATGTCGTGAAATCTGCATTTAAGATTGAAATGTATGTTAATTTAATGTGTTGTACTACTACATAGATCCATGTATTTATGGCACAAAGACATTTGTGTCTATCGCTGAATAAGAGCATATTGTATGAATTGATTACAATATTTCTACAAAACCATTAAAAGTTACAGGTTTCAATTTCTATTTAAACTTTTGGGCGCTGGCGTATGATTAGTTACAGGATGCACGTGCTTTGATACAATGTACGGATACCGAACACTATAACAATGTACAAGTCTATATGTTACCTTTCTCTTGCAGACCAGTAACAGTGCACGCCTTTCTACGGTTCTGTATGCTTCCAGTAATAGTATTAACATGGATTTTTTCTTTAGATGTTATCGACATTTCTTGTGTTCAAAATAATAAAATATCGTCGTAATCTAAACAAGAAATAAATCAAAAATAACCACATACACGAAAGAGATAAGTTATGTGTAGCTAAGAAGATATCATCATATCACTGCTACAGAGGACAGAAATCCAGTCTATTAAGGGAAATATGTAGTTTTTTTAACGAGCTTATACGAAGTTCAGGAACTAGTAACAGGATAAAGAGTTAAAGGCTGGCATTTAATTAACTGGACAGCTACCCGACATTGGTCTATTTAAGGTTACAATATTTCTAAATATCTCGATACAAATAAACTATTATCCAAACGGACTTACATCAGAGGTCGGTATCATAAACTCATTACAGCGGTCACCTCACTACAGTGGTCACCATCGATATCACTACAGCGGTCTCCTCACTACAGCGGTCACCTCACTACAGTGGTCACCATCGATATCACTACAGCGGTCTCCTCACTACAGCCGTCACCTCACTACAGTGGTCACCGTCGATATCACTACAGCGGTCTACTCACTACAGCGGTCACCAAACTTCAGCGGTTACCTCACTGTACAGCTGTCACCTCACAACAGTGGTCACCACAATACAGCTGTCACCCCACTACAGTGGTCACCTCACTACAGTGGTCACCTCACTACAGTGGCCACCTCAATACAGCTGTCACTTTACTACAGCTGTCTCCTTACTACAGAAGTCACCTCAATACAGCGGTCACCTAACTACATCGGTCACCTCACTACAGCGATCAGCTCACTACAGCAGTCTCCTCACTACAGCGGTCTCCTCACTACAGCGGTCACCAAACTTCAACAGTTACCTCACTGTACATCGGTCACCTCATTAAAGTCGTCACATCAATACAGCTGTCACCTCACTACATCGGTCACCTCACTACAGCGATCACCTCACTACAGCGGTCTCCTCACTACAGCGGTCACCAAACTTCAACAGTTACCTCACTGTACATCGGTCACCTCATTAAAGTCGTCACCTAAATACAGCTGTGACCTCACTACATCGGTCACCTCACTACAGCGAGCACCTCACTACAGTGGTCACCACCGATATCACTACAGCGGTCTCCTCACTACAGCGGTCACCAAACTTCAGCGATTAACTCACTGTACATCGGTCACCTCATTACAGTGGTCACCTCAATACAGCTGTCACCTCACTACATCGGTCACCTCA